AGCAGGCCTGGGGCTTCCTGTGCACCTTACAGAACTGACCAGAAACGTCAGCGGGAGAGTTTGGTGGAGGCGCTGTGGTAGGTGCTGCCTTCGCTCATTCATGATTGGTCTCAAAGAACAAGGAACCGGTTTCCAGGGCATCACCTGCACACTCAGGTAACCTTGCAACAGTTCTGCATAAATGATTGCTGAGGTCCACAGGACCAACATCCATTTTACAGAGTAGGAGATGGAGGTCTGGAGAGGTCACCTGGGCAGCGGGTAGCCAGGCCTGTGTGACCTGGGGCTGACCTCTCCTGCCCCTTTCCTGACCAGGCATAGACAACATGGAGCTGGCTGGGGGGAGGGGAAGCTGGAGATGTCCCTGTCCTGTCCTAACCCTCCAGTGAGCTCTGAGCTCGTGCTGGGCATAGTGGGGATACAGAAGGGGTTTTCAGGCCAGTCAGGGCCGCCCCACCTGGTAATTCTGCCACCTGCCTTCTGCCCAGAGGAGGCCCACAGGGCATCTACACATACCTCGTCCTTGGGGGGGATCAATCTTCCAGCAGTCCCTGGGGGTGGAAGTTCAGGATGAGGTGGTTGCTTGTGGAAACGCACCTGGGCCTGCACACCTGGGCCTGCCCTGGCCTGGCCCGGAGCCTCCTTCTCCCTCTCACTCTACCAAATGAAGGTGCTGGCCTGGAAGCTGGCACGAGGCCCTGCTCCGCCTGCCCACCTGGCCAGTCTGGGCACTCCGGGGGCTGGGGGCCAGCAGGGGCAGCCCCATGCTCTTCTGGCGGGGTGGGGTGGGGGGGCTTGAGCAAGGGCTGGAGCCCTGGACTTTGGTGTGAGTGGAGCTCAGGGGTTGAGGGAGCACAGTGTAGGGTCTTCCAGGGACCCTGGGGGCTGAGGTGTGCTGAGGTCCCCAGCACCCACCCACCACACCACAGGCATGTGCTACAGGCCCAGGCAGAGGGTGGTCCCACAGCCAGGCCGGCTCCACCTCCACAGCCTCCAAGGTGCCACCATCCCCCTTTCTCCCCAGAAGGGGCTGAGTCTACCCTGCTGACAGCCTTGTGGTCCTGCCCACAACAGGGCGGGATCACACCACCCACAGGGCCAGTGAATCTGCTGAGTTAACTGCTAAGTGACCAGCATCCCTGCTGTCTACACCCGCCTTGCCTGGACCAGGGGCAGGAACTGCACCTGTGTGTGTCCAGGATGGGCTCCTGCCCACTAGACCCCAGGTTCACCCTCAGCTGATGAGAGCCACATGTCAGTCTCTGGTGGGGACACCGGGGCCCAGAGAGGGAGCCAGAACCTCAGACCACACAGTGAGGAGCGAGTGAACACGATGTCCTGTCTGTGTTCAGTGCATGGTCACCTTCAAGCAGGCACAGCCCCAGGGTGGTATTCAGACCCCCTGATGCCAACACAGCATTGCCCGTCTGTCTGTCTAGCTGTCTGCCTGCCTTGCTGACAGCTTGTCTTCTACATTTGCTAAGGGCCTACTGTATACAAATCAAAGACTTGGGACCCACCAGGATAGGGAGCAGACTGCCCAGCCTTCCAGTGGGGCCCCCGGAGAGCCTCCCCAATCCCACCAATCCCAGCCCCCGGAGACTGACACACCAGTGTGCGGCTTCCCTGGAGGAGTACAGGCTTCCAGAGCCTTGGGGAGACCAGGAGTCAGGACTGCCAGTGGGGGCTGTTGAGGAAGAGGACAGTGTGGCCCCAGGTCTCCTTAGAGCCCTGGACCAAGGTGTGGGGAGGGGACAAAGAGACTTCACTGAAGTCCCAGGGCTGCCCTGTCCCTCCCGGCCCCCTGCACAAATCCAACAACAGATGTTGCAGAGTGGTCATCAGCCTCCTGGACCAGGGTGTGAGGAGGGGGCACAGAGGCGTCACTGAAGCCCCAGGGGAGCCCTGCCCCCACCCCCATCCCCCACCCACACAAAACCAACAACAGGTGTTGTAGAGTGGTCATCAGTCTCCTGGACTTTGGACAGGGCTGAGGGCCTGAAGGCCGGCCTGGCTCTGCCTCAGAGTTGGGAGTCTGTTCTTTCCAGGGCCATTTAGTGCCCAACTCAGGATATTTTGTGCCCCTCAGTTCTGGAGGGCGAGAGTCAGGAAGTGGCCAGGGACATCAAGAGTGGGCCTTGTTGCCCACCTGCCCATGCAGAGCCTCAATTTTTCCATCTGGAAAGTGGGGACTCTAACCCCTGCCCTGCCAGACTCTCAATGGTCTCTAACTGCCCCTGGGCATCACTAGTCTCTACCTCGAGCGCTCAGTGAAGACCTCCGCGGTACAAGCTGAAGTCCAGGTGGGAGATCTGGGCTGAGGCTGCTCCCAGGCCGGCAGGGCAGTCCCTCCCCCAGTCTCCGGCCTCGAATGCAGGCGGGACGCTGTGGACCGCCTCCTGGCACAGCGTCCCTCCCAGGCAGGCCCTGGCCAGCCCTCATCCCGCCCACTGGCCACGCTCCCAGCGCCAGAGGGAGGTGTCTGTAGGCCGCCCTCTGACTGGGCAGAAGTCCAGGGCGGTGCAGGGGGAGGGTCTGAGAGGGGAAGCTCAGCCACTGAACCCCAAGAAGGGAGGAGAGGGACAGGAAACGACAAAACTACAGCCCAGCAGTAACCGATGGTGCCCTGAGCAAGAGGGAAGGGTGCCTTAGCCACATGGGAGTGACCAGCATGGAGCCCCTCAGGGGACAGGGGGACTAAGTACTTTACATGCATCATCTGGGGAGATGCCCACCCGAGGACAGGAACTACTGTGGCCTAAGGCATGGACGAGGCACTGAGACAGGACACCATCTAGTAGTGCCAACTTGGGCAGCTCACGCTGGGAGAATTTCCAGAGTGATTCCCAAGGACTGAATTTCTACAACCCAGATTGCATTCCTCCAATAAGAATTTTGTGATGAATTGAATGTGTGCCCCCAATTCTGTGCTGAAACCCTAGGCCTTGTTTGAAAAGCAGGTCTTTGCAGGTGAGGTCAGTTAGGTTCACATGTGGCCCCAGGGCAGTGGAGTGGGCCCTAATCCCATCTGGGCGGTGTCTATAAAAAGAGAAGTCAGCCATGTGGCGAAGGGGTTATGCTGGAGCCAAGAACGCCTGGGGGCCCCCTAAAATGCGGAAGGATCCTGCCCTGGAGTTTGTGGCTCTGCCTCTGCTGGGATTCCAGACCTCCTGTCTCTAGAGCTGGAAGGCAAGGTGGTATTTGTACCCTGGTGGACAGCTGGTTAAGTGTCTGTCAGCAGAAAGATGAGGCATCTGTTCCCGTAAAGATTTAGCCTCAGCAGGATCTCTATGAGTCAGAATCAGCTGGGCCGCAGTGGGCTTGTTTTCTGGGCTTTTTTGGTTGTTTTAGGGCCACCTGTAGAGCTTGTGAGCTTTGTTCTGACAATCCTGTGAAATTAAGACTTGGCCATCAACAGTGTTTGATGTCCCTGTGGGGGCTTGTGCGTCGCTGTGTTCCTGGAAGCTATGTCACTGGGATTTCAAATATCAGCAGGGACACCCATGTTGTTACACCGTTAGGTGCCGA